AGTAGAATGAAGGGTTACATAGAGGTAGAGATGGAGCAAGAGTAGCTGGATATTGAAATAAAATTGTGTGATAGGCACACAAGGGTTCTATGCTATTTTACTTTGCATATATTGAATTTTCCATAATATAATGATTTTAAAAGCACTTATAGCTGGGTGTAGTGGCACACGCCTGTAATCCCAGCACTCAGAAGGCTGAGGCAGGAGGATTGTTGTGAGTTCAAGACCAGCCTGGGCTACAAAGTGAGCTCAAGTCCAGCCTGAAGTGCATAGTGACGCCCTGTCTCAAAGACCCTTTGTCTCAAAAAGACAAAAATAAATAAATAAATACATAAATACATAAATAAGGACTTATAACATTTTAAAAATTGGGTGGATTCTGGCAGGGAGTGCTCGCTCCCTGCCTCGTAGGCACCCGGAAAGAGGGCCTCCGGCGCAGGAGGAGCCATGCGGCGAGCGCTGTTGCCCGCTGGCCCTCAGGCTGGCCTGCGCTGCTCAATTGAGAACTACCATGACACAGAGAAACAATGACACAATTGGGCCACCATGCACCAGCTGCAGAGGCCCACCCATGGACGTGTGTGAATCATTCAAACATGAAGAACCCCCTGGGAATGCATGCCATACAACGGGTCACTCTTGCTCCTGCCATTGAGAACCAGAAAGGTCCAGAGTCAGCGGAGGAGCAGCTGCTGAACAAGGACTCAGAGAACATGAAAATGCAGACTAAGCCTGAAGAGTCAGAGGTCCTGTGGACTGGGGTCATGAGAGCCGCTTGGAAGCTCTAAACCCGGAGGACCTTGCACAGTACCTGTGGAGACTCCCTGGACGCCATTCTTCCCCTGACAGTACAGGCTGTGGTGGAGCTCTGGAGAAGTCTGCAGCAGGATTCCCACTGCCTGTGCTGACAGTTGGGGAGAGGACACTAACTGGTTGTGGGGTCCCAATGCGATGGGAGGCTGGAGAGAAAACGCTACAAAAAATGGTTTTGCCCCAGATGGCTCACTTGATTTTTGACAACCCTTCAGCTGTAACTACTTGTTAGATCCTTCTTGCATATCTCTGTCTTCCTGAGAAACCACTTCAAAGATACCACCATGTATTACAGCAGCCATTGATATTTTCCTACTAATCTATCCATAACTCTGAAATGTTTGTATTGTTCCTATCTTATTTCGTAAATGGATGCATGTCTATCATTATGTGTTTCCTACAATAACCACTGAGAAAAGTTAATGATTATTTAATAGGTCACTCATGTATAGCTCTATTTATTTTCTTTAGAAGCTACTGAAGATACCAAAGTATAGTACAACAACTATTGATAATCTCCTACCTCTTTTGTCTGTAACTCACTATTATTTGTCTATTTGTTTTCTTGAGAAACTATCTTGTAGATAACAGTATGTGAAACAATAACCATTGATAATTTCCTACCACTTTGTCTGTAATTTGGTAAGTCCCCCTATTATTATGTTATCCTTCTTTTACTCTTTAAAATAAAAGAAAAAAATTGGGTAGATTATAGATTGAATTAATTGCTGTACTTTTTCTGAGCAATATTTAGCTGTCCATTAAGGGAGCAGATCACAGTATTTAAGATCAGCTTTGGTGCCATTTATTAGCTACATGACTTTGAGACAATTCAATGACTTCACCTCAGTCTCTTGTTGGGCTTTGCAGGGTTTAAATGAGATTAAATGCCATTAAAGTGCTTTCCAAAGTCCGTCAATGAGCTGCTTGCTTAGTAAGTTTTCATTTGTCATTAGTGGAAGGAAAGGGTGGCAGAGATCAACTTGAAAAAATATATTGAAAAATATTTATATGAACACATATCAGTTGTACATATAATGGGGTTCCGTGTAATATTTTCGTACACGTGCACAGTGTGTGCTGATAAAACCCAACCGCCCCCTCCCACGACTCTCCCCTCCCCAGCACGATACCCTTCCCAACGTCTGTTCATCCCTGTTCCACTTTCACCTGGGGGTTTTTCCGCTTCCACATATGAAAGACAACATACAGGGGTTGTGTTTCTGTGTCTGACTTATTTCACTTAACATAGTGCCCTCCAGTTCTATTTATTTTGATGGAAACGACAGGATTTTATTTTTGCTTCTGGCTGAATAGTAGGCCCCTGGGTATATAGAACATTTTTCCTTTATTCGTTCATCTGTTGATGGACACCAAGGCTGGCGCCATATCTACGTTATTGAGAAAAGTCCCACACTAAACGCGGGCATGCAGCGGGTATTTCTCTGGTAGCTGACCTCATTTTTTTTGGGTACACACCCAGAAGTGAGGTAGCGGGAGTTCTAGTATTTTGAGGAACCTCTCTGCTGTCTTCATAAGCTGTACCAATTCAAATGCCTACCAACAATGAGTAAGAGTTCCTTTTTGTTCCACATTCTCATTAGCATGTTTTAGATAACGTCTAGTCTAGCCGGGGCTGAGATGGTATCTCATTGTGGTTTTGCTCTGTGTTTTCCTGATGGTATCGGGTAATTTTCCATATAATTGTTGGGCACTTGTATTTCCTCTTTTGAGAAATGTCTGTCCAGGTCATTTGTCCATTTGAAAACTGGATTATTTGGGGATTTTTGTCAAAATTTTAGAGTTTCTTATACATTCTGGATATTAACCCTATCAGATGTAGAGTGGGCATATGTTTTCTCCCATTTTGGAGGCTGTCTCTTCCCTCTGGTGATTGTTTCCTTTGCTGTGTGGGAGCTTTTTAGTTTGATGTAATCCCGTTTCCTAGTTATTTTCTCTTGTTTCCTGTGCTTTTGGGGTCCTATTCAGAAAATCATTGCCTGTACCAATGTCTTAAGTGTTTCCCTCATATTTTCTTCTAGTAGTTTCAGAGTTCCAGGTCTTACATTTAGGTCTTTGATCCATTTTGAGTTGATTTTTATACAGATGAGAGAGGGGTCAAGTTTAACTCTTCAACATGTGGATATCCAGTTTTTTTGGCAACATGTATTGACGGGGCTATCCAATCTCCACTGTTTGTATTATTGCCTTTGATGAGCACCAGTTGACTGTAGATGTATGGGTTCATTCCTGGGATCTCTAACCTGTTGCATTGGTCTATGTACCTGTTTTCCTGCCAATACCATGCTGTTTTGGTTACTGTGATTTTTATAGTGTGTCTTGAACTCAGGAATTGTGATACTTCTCACTTTGTGTGTATGTATATTCCTGGGGACTGATACCAGGGCCTTCACACTGAAGTACATTCCTAGCCTTTCCAAAATTTTAAATTTTGAGACAGGGTCTCACTAAGTTGTCCAGGCTGGGCTTAAACTTGGAGTCCTCTTGGCTCAGCCTCCCAGAGTACACTACAATGGCTAGCTCTTGATCTGTTCTTTTTGCTTAAGACTGATTTGGCCATTTGAGGTCTTTTGTGCTCCCATCTAAATTTTAGGGTTGTTTTAACCAGTTCTGTGAGGAGTGTCATTGGTATTTTTATTGAATAGTCCTATTGCTTTGGGTAGTATGGAAATTTAACAACAATTTAATTATTCCAATCCATGAACATGGGAGGTCTTTTCATTTGCGTGTGTGTCCTCAATTTGTTATTTTCAGCATTTTCTATTTTTTTGCGGAGGTATCTTAATTACTTGGTTAATGTATTCTATTTATTTATTTATAGTTATCATAAATGAGATTGTTTCATGGTTTCTTTTTTTTTTTCATGGTTTCTTTCTTAGCAAATTTATTATTGCCATATAAAAAAGCTACTGGTTTTCATATGTTGATTTTTGTATTTTGCTACTATACTGAATTCATTTAGCAGCTCTAATGGCCTTTTGGTGTAGTTTTTAGGCTTTTCTATATGTAGAATAATGTCATCTGCAAACAGTGGTAATTTGACTTTCCTGTTCCTAGTTGTACATCCTTTATTTCTTTCCCTTGCTTAATTACTCTGAGGGAAATTTCTAGTGCAGCAAGAGTGAACACCCTGTCTTAAATCTAATCCTAGAGAAAATACTTTTAGTTTTCCCCATTCAGTCTGATGTTCATTGTGGGTTTTTCTTACATAACTTTTACCTTGTTGAAGTATAATCCTTCTGTACCTAAACTGTTCAGGATTTTATCCTGAGAGGATGTTGAATTTTATCAAATACTTATTCTGTATTAATTGAGATGATACCATGATTTTTAACCCTTTTTCTCTGTGGATGTGATGTATTACGTCTGTTTATTTGCATGTGTTGAGCCATCCTTGTCTCCCTGGGGTTAAACTAACTTGACCATTGTATATGATCTTTTTGATGTATTGTTAAATTCAGTTTGCTAGTATTTCGTTGAGATGTTTGCATATATGCTTATCAGGAATATCAGTTTGTGATTTTATTTTTTCTTTCTCTTCCTTCCTCCCTCTCTCCCCTCTTCCTCTGTCTCATTTTCCTTCCTGCCTGTCTTCCTTCCTTCCTGTCTGTCTGCCTGCCTGCCTTCGTTTCTGTGTGTCCTTGCCTGGTTTTGGCAATAGGGCTGAGGGCCTCAGAGAATGAATTTGGAAGGGCCCCCTGCCTTTCAGTTCTGTGGAATACCTTGAGAAGAACCGACATTAGCTCTTCTTTAAAAGTATGGTAAAATTCAACAGTGAATCCATCCAGTCCCAGACCTTTGCTTTATCAGGAGACTTTTTATTCTGATTCAATATCATTACTTATTATTGGTCTATTCAGGTTTTTAAAATGTCCTCATGGTTCAATTTTGATAGATCACATGAATCCAGAAATGTTTCCATTCCTTTTAGGTTTTCCAATTTGTTAGCATAGCTTTTCATCACAACCAATCCATAATAATCCTTTGTATTTCTGTGGTGTCAGTTGTAATGTCTCCTTTTTCACCTTTAGTCTTATTTATTTGTGCCCCCCTCCCCCCATCCCTGTCTTTCTCTTTCCTCCCATCTCTGGTTAGTTTAGCAAAAGGTTTGTCAATTTTATCTTATCTTTTCAAAGAGCCAACTCTTTGTTTCACTGATATTTTCTACTGTTTTAGTTTCTATTTTGTTCATTTTTCCTCTGATCTTTGTCATTTCCTTCAATTTTAGGTTTAGTTTGTTCTTGCTTTCCCAAGTTCTTGAGATGTAATCTTTGGTTTGTTTATTTGAAATCTTTCTCTTTTTTTTTATGTATACACTCCTTGCTGTAAAATGTCCTTAATGCTGCTTTAAATTGGGAATTTAAATTGAGAATTAACAACTTTATCTCCATGACAAGACTGTCTTCACATTCCTGACATAAAACACATAAAAGAATAATACAGGCAATCCTGATTTTTTTCCCCCTTGTTTGTTTGGTTTTAAATGTGAACTTATTTGCTTTTTCTTTGGAGAGCACCTGTCTCCGCCTTGTTTTGATCCAGCCAGTGTTTAAGTTGGCTCCATTTCCCGACTTCAAAACAGCTAGTTGTAGGGAATGAAGGCTAAATTTTTATGCTTAAAAATAGCAGAAAAAAATTCTCAGCAGGCTAATAAAAAAAAAAAAAAAAAAACAAACCAAGTATATAACCATATTCGATTTCAAGCCCGGACTCCCTTACGATCTTTTATTTATTTTTGTGGTGTTGGGGATTGAACCCTGGGCCTTAGGTCATGCTAGGCAAATGGTCTACAACGGAGCTACGGCCACAGTCCAGAGTTTCTTTCATAAGCAACTTTCGCCTGAGGTTTTCACAGTGTAAAGGCCAATGTGGCTGGAAGGCGTCCCTTCCTGCGTTCGGGGAGTTTGCCTCGAGCTGCCGCGCTGTGCCAGCCTGCTCAGCCGGGACGCATGTGCGCTCCCAGGGTGGGGCCGTCCCTCTGTGGACCGCGAATACCTGGGGATGCCTCGGGAGGGTCACCAGAGGAGCCGCGCCGCACGTCACGACCCTGTGGGCCGCGGAGGCTCCGCGGGGCTCTTGGCCCTGCGCTACCCAGCTGCGGTTTCTGGTGTCGCGTTCCCTCCGGAGACCCACCAGGAACTTGCTGGAAAGGGCTGGCTTTGGGGATCCTCTGCGGCCGCGGTCTTCCCAGATCCTCGCCGGCCGCTCGCTGCACCGAGCTCATCCTGTCTCCCAGGAGCAGCGCGGGCGCATCTGCCGGGGTCTGAGGTCCCGCACACCCTGCCGCGTGCAGATTCCCACGCTGCTGCCGACCTCCTGCGACGGAAGCTTCCACCGCCTCTTCTCTTCCTTCCGCATCTTCGTTTCGCCTCTGCTTCTTGACGTTTATATTTCTTCGCTCTGCTTTTAACAGCGCAAGCATTTTCAACGCTTGCAGGGAAGAGCTGGCGCTTGGTGCGCGCGTTCCTCGGGTGACTGGGAGAGGCTTATCTCCCTCGCATTCTGCTTTTCCCATCTGCGCTGCAAAAACAGCTGGCTAAATTTAGCTCCACTCGGGTAACTCGAGCACGTACCACGTACTCCCCAGGATTCTCTGAGGATTTTAACCGCTTGCTTTTCGTTTTTAAAATCGCTCCTTGAGGTTTCCACAGATGCTTACCCACAGGAGGTTTCCCACAGAAGGGCGGTTGCCCTTCCCGGGTCGGGTTTGGATCTCTCAGAGCTGGAGCCTTGCTTCCCGCCCTCTCCCCCGTCCTGCAGTCCCGCTGTGTCCCCCAGGCCGCCAGCTTCCCTGGGTCACTGTGGCCTCGCTCTCGCTCTGCCTCCTGAATGCTTGTCGCCCCGTCCTCCCTCGCAGGTCGTCATGAGCGGCCATGTGGCACATGTCACCCTTCCCGGGGCTGCCTCCCAGGAGCTTTCCGAGAACAGCCAGCCCCTCGGCCCTGCGCTGCTGGCCTGGTCGTCTCTGCCGTCTGCACATGCGCAGAAGTGGATGTATTGGAAGATCGCAGCTTCTGCCTTTCTCTTCCCGACGTCAGCTCCAGGAACCTACTTGGGTCTTCAGCTGTGTGAGCAAAGTTCTTCTCTTTGCAAAGCAAGCAGCAGCTGTCCCAGTCCTGGGTCTCCTCGGGGCCCAGGCCGGCTGAGGGCTGGTCTCTGCTGAGATCTCTTGGAGCCAAACTGCCCGACTGGCCTCCCGTGACTTGTGACCTCTTCCTCGGAGACGGCACCCGAGTGTGATGTTCCGCACAATTCGTTGTTATCCATCCCCTCCTTGAAAACAGTTGCCTGGCGGACTGCAGAGTAGGAAACAACAGCAGGGCTTGTAACAGAAAATGACGGGGTTAGAAATAATTTTGGTTTCTAAAGCAGTATAATTTGATCCCAAGTTTGTGGGACTACAGAAAACACTGTCAAATTCATGTTGTTTGCCTAAAACAAAACAAAACCCTGAATAAACAAAAACTCTAGAGGTTGTGCATTCCACAGATTTTCTGAACCATCTGTCAGTGAGGATTAAGGAAAACATCTGTCCAGGCCGCTCTTTAGAGAGCTTCATAGGAAGAATTCTGAGCATGTGAAGGAGGTCACGTTCACAAGGGCAGCCTCCATCTATAGCACAGGATGGAGCTCTGTCCCCGCTTCCGGCTAAGGAGTCGTAGAAGGCGGTTACTCCTCCTGAAGTGGCTACTTTCAGCAGAATCTGTAGGAAAGGAAGTCTCCCTGCTGCTGCCTGCTGGCTGGCCCTCGCCTCACAGAGAGGGAGGGAAGCCCAATCAGAAGCCGCAGTGCAGTCCAGACAAGCAGCCTTCTTCTGAGAATGCCCGGATTAGGGGCAGTACAGATATTCCATGGAGTCGCATTGTACAAAGTTATTTCTTGGGTATGAGGTTTAGAAATAAAAGCCAAGAGCCCGCCCTGGAGGCTAAGGCGGGAGGATCACTGCAGGTTCAAGGCCAGCCTGGGCTACTAGTGAGGCCAACTCAACACTCGCTGCCCCAAAAAAGAAAAGTCACATCTAAATGACAGAGATGACTTGTAATGGTCTTCCGTTCTTTAATTTGGGTAAATTTCTTCCCTGTTGGGGCTGTTTTGAAAAGGCTTCCTTTGTCCCCATCTTCGGTACAAATCTCCCCGACAAATGATAAAACTTACGGCTTTTCATTCAAAATCTGTCCTTGTAGAAAAACCTTACGGATGTCTTGTTTGGTCTGTGCTGTGTGTTTTCCATTCTCACTGAAGCTGTCCTAAACTAGTTGTACTGAAAAACAATTTTTTCACCCACCTGGAATCACTCCTTTTGTGTGTGTGTGTGTGTGTGCGGTACTTTGTATATGAGCCAGGGAGATTTTAAACTCAGAGATTCTAGGTCTTTTCCAGATTTTCCTGCTGTATAGCAATGATTTGCATGTCTTGCCTGTTCTGCTGACTTGAAGTTCATGTATTTATTTTTTTTATTTTTTATTTTTTTTGGTTTTTCTCCAGTACCGGGAACCGAACTCACGACCTTGCGCTTGCTAGGCAGGCGCTTTTGCCGCTGAGCTAAATCCCCAGCCCTGAAGTTCATGTATTTATGAAGCTCTTCTAGCTCACGAGTGTGTGAAGTACTCTGAGGATTATCATCATCTTCAGAATCTGTATTTAAGAAAATTAGCATTTTCAGAAGTCTGAGACTCAAGTAAGGGGGCCACCTTTGACACTAATCCAGGCTGCAAGAGAAGGTGTCAGATTCCTGGGCTCCTTGGCTATGGCTGGGCTGGTTTTGTAAGATTTTTGTTGACATTTTCACAGTGACCTATGAGTCACAAGGCTGTGATTTGTACCCTGAGCAGGGCTTTGAGTTTAAGAGTCAATTTTCTACTGGAGCCGATAGAAGTTTTCTTGTGACGTTTACAGGACAGAGGCAGAGCTCTCGAGCATGAGGCAAGTGCAGCTGGCTGCACCGAGACGAGACGGGACGCCTGACTGCGGGTTCATGAGCCCCATTCCTAAGGCAGGACAGCTGGACAGGCCGCTAATTAGCGACTCGCTTGACCTGTCCGGACCCAGCATCAAGGTGCCGAGTGGCCGCTGTCAGGACCCACGGGCAAGAGGCCGCGGTGTCACTCAGACTCGCCAACGCTCTGTCTCCAAAAAATGCCGCTTTTAGTCTTCAGTAAAGCCTGTGTACACCTTCATTATTTTCGTGTTAAAGATCTCACACATTTTAAAAGCTTAATCACACCGTGTGTCCTCTGCAGTGAGCGTTTTTGGTTTATCTTAGGTTGAGATTCAGGCATCTGTTCTGCAGTGGAATTGATTCACTGCTGTTTTGATTCCATTTTAGGAGTGGGATACAATTTATCATCCCGTTTCAGACATTCATTTCTGGGTTTGGTGGCTAACTGATTAATGGTCAACTTGAGTGGGGAATGCCTGAGGTGGCATGGCCCTGGGTGTGGAAGACGCCATTTAAGAGGCTTGGTGTCTCATGCGGGCCTGTTTCACGGATCTGTGCTGGGAAGGCCCAAAGGTCAGTGGTGGAATCTAGGAAGTCTGTGCCAGCGGGCTGAGGGATCTGAACGGGAGCCAGGAAGCGATGCTCAAGGTGAGGACCAGCTTCTGTAAATGTTGGTTAGAATGGTATAAAAGGAGAACAGGAGGGATGGACTTCAGCTGATTTTCCTGGGAGGAGCTCCGGTCCTCACCTTTGCCTTGGGCATCCTATCCTAGCTTTCGGTGCAGTCTTCAGCTCCCGGCCCTCACCTTTCCGACTGCAGGTGCAGACTCCAGCTTCCAAGGAGCGCCCACCCTCCCACCTCTCGGTGCAGATCGCTAGGTCTTTCATCTTGGATCCTTCGGCTTCCGTATGGGACAATGCTGTGGGCTCCAGGCCTTCAGCTGGATCCTTCGGATCTCTAGTACACGGACAGATCTCCTGCACTCTTCTTCATCTGACTCTGTGGGTGGCACTGTAGGCTTATCTTGTAAATTTGTGTCCGCATTAAATCTGATTCAGAACATGTGCAGTCTTTTGAGGAGCCTTGTTCCAGCCCTGCGAGCTCTTGTAAACTGAGTAATACACTGCGTTCTTGCTGTTGTGTGTCCCTGGCTCTTCAAATTCTTGTGCTTGTGTCCCGGTGAGCATGGGCACGAGTTCCTCCAGGGTTAGGTGTCTACCCGAGCAGTGTGATTGTGGGCCCTGGTACATCTTTAGTTTACCAGATGTTGTAGTTTGGGGTTTTGCAAGGGGAACAGTATAATACAGGACGTATATTTTATAAGATTATTTATAACAGTCTCCCAAAAAATCATATACAAAAAGAGTGTGCAGGAAATCTGTCTATACACTAAAGACCAAAGAATCCAGCAGAGGGCCTGGATCCCAGAGAAATGTCCTGCATGAGTCCAGCTGAAGACCTAGAGCCCATAACAATGCTTCCTCCAAATCCAGCTGGAGGCCTAGAGCCCACAACGTCTCATGCAGGCCTGTATCATGGATCTGCGCTGGGAAGGCCCAAAGGTCAGTGGTGGAAGCTAGAAAGTCTGTGCCAGCGGGATGAAGGATCTGTGCCAGCAGGCTGAGGGATCTGAATGGGAGCCAGGAAGCAGTGCTCAAAGTAAGGACCGGCGCTCCCCTGAAAAGTACCACAGCCGTCCTCAGCAACAGCAAGGTCCTGAGCTCTCTGATGATCAGAACAGCCAAGTTCCCCTCAGGAAAGCCAACAAGACCAGCTTCTCCAGGAGACTGAGCTGTGCACCGTCTTTCCCTCTGGAGCCAGGAAGCGATGCTCAAAGTGAGGATAAGAGCTCCCCCAAGGTGAACTGAAGCCATTCTCAGCAACAACGAGGTACCCAGCTCCTCCTCCAATGAGAACAGCTGAGTTCATCGGGAAAGCCAGCATGACAAGGTCCTCCAAGAGAACCAGCAGCAGCCCCAGGAAAACCAACAGCTCCCAACAGCCTCTCAACAGCTTCCCTAACAGCCTCTAAACTTCTACAGTTCAGCCTCTTGGCTGCCAGCAACAGTCCTCAGGTGGGCCTCCCACACCCAGCACCGTGCTGACTCAGTTCAGCTGGGTGTTACAAGTTGAACACCAGTTGTCAATCCACCACCCCAGATGATGCCAAAATGTTTCCCGAAGTGTTCCGTTCCAATTTAGACTCCCACTAGCAAATTAAAAAAAAAAATTCCCATTTCCTACAATACTGAAGTTGAACAGCTTTTTATAGAGTTATGGACATTTTGGCTTTTGTGAAATGCCTACTTTCGGGTCTTCTCCATTTTTCTTTTGACCCATGTGGGTTTATTCTCTGGATACTAATCCTCTGTCCATGTGTTTTACAAATATCTTCTCTCGATTTTGATTGGCCTTTCACCCTATAGTATTTTTATAATTCTCATTTCAGTGTAATTGGGTTCTATTTTTGTCTTACACGAAATCTTTCCCCAGTGTCTGTGGAAACGCTGTCATGTTTAAAAAGTTTTGTAGTTTTGCTGTTCACATTGCAGTCTTGAATGCATTTGGAATTGGACTACTTACTACATACTGATATGAGCGGGTGGTACAAATTCTTGGTTCCTGGACATCACCAGCACCGTTCGCTGGGAAATCCTCATGTTTCGGGGTGATCTGCATCCCCTGCTCTCAGAAACCAGTGTCTGGAGATGGAGCCCACGTTTCTGGCCTCTCTGTGGACTACGGCTGTGTATCCGTCCCAGTGTGGTTTTTTTCAGTTTACGTTTATTTGATGAGGTGGGTACTCTCACCTGTTGCTCTTTGGGAATGTTTTCTGTCCTGTTTTTCTGAACAGTTTTTCTAAGAGAGAACTGAATTTATAACTAGGCAAGACAGAAACAAGGCTGTTTAGATATTTTGATCAGCAAACGTAAGAGTTCTTCTGTTGAATTTTACTTGGTCTTTTAAAGTTCACAGAACTTAAGAGATGAGAATTTTATGCTCAGAAACGATGTTTTCTTCTTTACTGCGTGGTATCTATAAGCCATATTAATACAGATCTGATTTCAAACCAGGTTGCTTGTGCTGTTTTTAATCACAGATTTAATTAACGTTGAGCTTGGACCACTTCCCTGCGCAGTAATACAAATAATGCTGGCCAGTGAAGCCACAGGAGACTATAATTAGATCTCATGAACTAATGGTCTCGAATTATTTTAAGTGCTCGGAATTTTTAGTAATGTGCAGGACCATGCCCGAATATCAAAAAGGCAACTCAGCTGCGAGTGGGTCCGCTGCGAACTGCTGTGGGAAGAGGGAGTGGTAATGTACACATCCAAGCCTGGGAAGCGGAGTTGTTTATTAAGTAAGCAAGAGAACGAGAGCAGTCAGCACAGCGGGAAATAAGGGCACCAGATAATGCTCTTCGGCTGCTCTGTTTCCTGTTCTGGACGGCTCTGCGATCCACCCTGAGAGTCTCATTCTCCTTACCCAGATTGCAGTTTCCCATTTCCGGCCGCTTGTCTCCGCCACC